CCACTGTGGCTTTTAAAGTGGAATACTGCCAGATTTATTGAAAGTACCATTCAAACAACTACATACTTTACCTTAGAGGTCATGGTTAATTGGAAACAATACCACACAATGCACTTAACTTTGATGAATTTAAAGTACTAGAGGCAAAATCTACATTCTTTTGCTTTTTAAATTGGATACAAAAATTCACAATTGCCTGATTGATTGTTCACACCCTTAACTATTGGGCTATTGATTGATTAATTTATTATTTTTATGCTTATATTAACTAAATCCATCAATTTCAAAACATTAATATAGTTAACACTCCAATTGAATACATTTTAATGTACTGACTACCTGAGGCGCAAATTTCCTTTGTCCTTCAAATACGATAGGTACATACATATATATATTGGATATAGCTTATCGACGCAGTACAAACAGCGCAGCAGAACCGATCAATAACTACTCTCCGACCCCCAGATAAAAATGGCGCGTAGTTATCCCTTGATAGTTATACATACACAATCATAAGGCGTTTGATATAAAATGTTGCAAAATTCGCAAAACCGAGTCTTTTTTACTTACTGTCTCCGTTGCAACCTTCAACTATGGCACATATTACATCTCTGGTCAGCACTTGTCCAAAAGTCTGATATAATGTCTCAGTAACGTCGTGGTATACGCCTTCCTGATCGCTGAGTGAATCTTCCATTTTAAATATATATTAATAAAAAAAAACTAAAACACACACATTTATAATCACATTTGTTCGGTAAAAACTTAAAATTTCACGTAGCGGTCGGAGAGAACAAAATACACATTATCTCTGGAACAACGAAAAGGAAATGCTATTTTGACAATAAGTGACAATGACAATTCAAAACAAATAGCAAAGACTATATAATACACAGCAATGGGAAAACGTTTATAATTATGAATACTGCGAAGAAATCCTTCTCCAGAACTAATTTTTTTATTAAAATTGTTAAACGTTTCAATAATTCATCAGTACATTCTACAGTGAACGTAAGGAGTAAAATATAGAATGGTTGGATCAAAGGAAAAATAACTAAAAATATATTGAGCGTATTTAACAATAATACAAAAATGTTGTAACAAGCCAAATAGATAAGAGTGATCCTCTCAATAGGTATCAAAAAGCCCCGAAGAGCTAATAATATTTTATATTTACGAATCATGTCGCAGATACAATGCCGGTTGTAAATGGCACAAAGTGTTTGTACTAAATGATGTCAAAAAAAACTTGTGTCACTGTTGACCTAAAGGTTTATGTTACCAGGTCATGAAATTAAAAAAAAAAATTGTGTCACTGTCACCCTATCACCGTTCACCGTTCACCGTTCTTCTGTCTTGTCGCTTAAATCCTTAAAAGAAAAAGAATAATTTTTCTTTTCTACTTTTTATATATTAGTACTATGCTAATATATAAAAAATTGTACTGCTGTAAGTGTGAGAAATAAGAAAACATTAAAATACAATATAATTAACTCATGTCTCTTGGACACGCGTATCCAAGTTTGAGTTTTAATTATGATACTAACATAAACCGATTATATGAATATACAATGAGTAAATAAAACGAAAATTCTATTCAATGAACATAGTTTTCTACTCTATATTCCGTAAAAATGGCTGATAATTTTCAAAATAATAAAACTATGGCGCCGGTAATGATGGACTATGACTTTAAAATAAAAACACAAAACGAGCGTTCCAAAGTTGAAGACCTCTTTGATTTTGAGGGATGTAAAGTTGGAAGAGGGACATACGGACATGTATATAAAGCTCGGCGAAAAGATGGATCGGATACTAAAGACTACGCATTGAAACAAATAGAAGGAACAGGACTTTCCATGTCCGCTTGTAGAGAAATAGCTGTAAGTACGTTTTAAACTATTATAAAAACACTTTGCTATTAAAATGTTATACTTTATCTATTGTTTTATTAAAATAACTCTATTTATTGTAAATATTTTTCAGTTGCTGAGAGAATTAAAGCATTCAAATGTTATAAACCTAATTCGAGTTTTTCTTTCTCATACGGACCGAAAAGTATGGCTGTTATTTGATTATGCCGAACATGATTTATGGCACATTATAAAGTTCCACAGAGCAGCCAAAGCAAATAAAAAATCTGTTATGGTTCCAAAGGGAATGGTGAAAAGTTTATTATATCAAATTTTGGATGGGATTCATTATTTACACTCAAATTGGGTTCTACACAGAGATTTGGTAAGATGTTTCAAAATTATGTAAATGATTGATATCCATATATTAAAGTATAATGATAAGTCACTGCAACTCATCAGCTGGCTCACAGCTCACAAAATTATAGGTAAATTGCATTGAGCTATGTTGTCAATTTAGTTGTTGAGCTACAGCTCAATGATTCAAGTTACCTCAACTTTTAAGCTGACTTAGAGTTGATTGTTCACATCTGAGTGTGGTAAATTATACTCATAGCACACACACATACACTATTAATTATACATGAGTCTTTTCAGAAACCGGCCAATATTCTTGTTATGGGAGAAGGACCTGAAAGAGGAAGAGTTAAAATAGCAGACATGGGCTTTGCAAGATTATTTAATGCTCCTTTAAAACCATTAGCGGACTTAGATCCTGTTGTAGTGACATTTTGGTATAGAGCACCGGAATTATTATTAGGTGCTAGGCATTATACAAAAGCTATTGGTAAGATAATTTATGTACATTATATTCAATAATATTAATCACTCTACAATATAAGGGTATTTGCCATCTAAATAAAACTAGATTTAGTAATGAAAATATCTAACTTATTACTATGTGATACATTCCAACACGTACAGAACTAGATTTTTCATTCAATAGCTTTGCTGACAAGCCACCTGTAACCACAAATACATACAAATACCCTCATATTAAGACATAAATAAAATATCTTACTAATATTACATATGCAAATGTGTAGACGGATGGATATCTCCAGAACAGCCGGATCTTAATGAAATTTGGCATACATTTAGTACATAGTCAAGAACACATAGGCTACTAATTATGTTTGTTTTTAACCCCATGCAGACGGAGTTGTGGGCAACAGCTCGTATAGTAATAAGTGTTAAAATTAAGAAAGTATAAATTGATATATTTTTCAGATATATGGGCAATAGGGTGTATATTTGCAGAGCTATTGACATCAGAACCCATTTTCCATTGTCGTCAAGAAGACATAAAGACAAGCAACCCATATCATCATGATCAATTAGATAGGATATTCAATGTAATGGGTTTCCCACAGGAAAAAGACTGGGAGGATATTAGAAAGATGCCGGAACACGCTACTTTAGTAAAGGACTTTAAAAGATCAAAGTAAATATTATTTTAAGTATGGATTAAGTTTAGGCTTAATTTTTCTTTTTTCTCTGGTCTCTACCCAGCCTTTTTTGTTGCTGAGTGATTTACATAATAGAAAGTCATAAAGTTTCATACACAGGGAGGTGACAACATTTGATGTTTAGTCGCCAAAGTCCCAAACTAATTGTCAAGATTGTTGTGGGAAATGTTGAAAATTGCAGGAATTTTTCTTACCACAATTTGGACAAACAGGTTACGAGCGAAAGTCATTAAAAAAAATGAAAAATGATTTATTACTTTAACAAAAATGGTACATACTAACATTTGTGCCGGGACTTCCATTTAAGCAACCATAACGGGCTTGTGATTGGAAGTCCCGCTCTTCCGTGTCACATAAACAGTATCAATGGTACCTTCTTAAACTATATATTATATAAAAACAAATAATTATTTTTAACAAACAAAACAAAATACAGAGAGTTAACTAAAAAGTAAAAATAAAATGACAATAAACTAATTATTAATTACTAAATTAAAAAGGTAAAAATGAGCAGAAATTATGGAAAATAACAGAAAAATACATTTGTGTAACTTAATGTTTGTGCAGTATAGGTCTCTTGATTGTATGAATGTGTGTGTGTGTATGAGCGTGTGTGTATATGAGTGCATGTGTGTAAGTACAGTTGAATTTATATAATAAATTAATTAATAATTAATAATAATTTTTCTATGTGTCATTAGCAATGACACATAGAAAAATCGCGCACTGTCTACGAACTTCTATGACTGCATTGCATATATCTCTTAGCGACTAAAATCCCCAGGTTCTGAAGACTTAAGTTATCTTGTGTACAAAAGGCTTTATACAATGAAAAAAGAATGCAATATAAATGAGTTACACTTATTCATTTTCAGTTACCAGAATTGTTCATTAAGTAAATACATGGACAGACATAAAATCAAACCGGACAGTAAAGCATTTAGTTTACTACAAAGATTACTCTTAATGGATCCTAATAGAAGAATCACATCGGAACAGGCGATGCAAGACCCGTATTTCACTGAAGATCCATTACCTACACAGGTAAGTGAAAATAAATAGAACATTTTATTAAACCTATTTATTTATGTGTGTATTATAATATAATATATAATATTTCATACCGGGGATAAAAAAATTAAACATAAGAACATTAAAAAAAGAAAAGAAAAATTGACGATTTTTTTTGCGTATTTAATTTGTTAAATACAATGATTACGTCTTCACTGCCTCAAAACTCATTACTATTCATTATACCCTTGGTTGTTAAAGACACTGAGACTGAATTTTTATAAACTTTTGTTCATGTTTCAGCAGTGGAAACTCACAGTAAAGTTTGAAAAAAATCTATTAAATATGTATGTATGTATATAGAAGAAGCGAGAGAGGTGTGTCTGGATAAAAATAGCAGTTCATGGTCTCTGCCTACCCCTCTGTGTAGGGGATGTGAGTTATATTGTTGAATTGAATATATTTTGTATGTTTACAGGATGTTTTTGCAGGATGCCCTATTCCATATCCCAAGAGAGAGTTCCTGACGGACGATGACCAGGAGGACAAGAGTGAGTCCAAGGCTCGTCAGAATCAGCAACAACAGCAGAACCCTAATGTAAGTTTACACTACATATTGTTACGCAACTGTACAAATAATAGTTAACCATAGGTTTGCATTGACAATTTTTTTTTTAATACATTGTCATCCCTAGTAAAACAATGTAAGAATGAGAATTTTATGTTTTAAATTCTGTTACCTAGAAGTGTCTTTTGTTTCAGACCCAGCAAAATCAAGTGCAAGCCAACAGTCATGACCATGGAGCCAACAATGCTAAGAGAATGCGAATGCCAGGTAAATTGTTTGCTTGTACAGTCACCTTCGTTCGCGGTGTGTCATCTAAAAAGCGACAAACATTTGAGTCCCGTACGCAGTGGTAACAGTGGTAACCAACAGTTTAGGTTCTTCTTCTTCTTCTTCTTCTTCTTCTTCTTCTTCTTCTTCTTCTTCTTCTTCTTCTTCTTCTTCTTCTTCTTCTTCTTCTTCTTCTTCTTCTTCTTCTTCTCCTTCACACGTTGAGCTACATTCGGCTCGTTCAAGTACCGACACGAGTTGCCGGCACAAAGGTCTCACATCGACTGACCTCGTGATTGCCATTCGTCGCTTTATATAGTCTATACATCCACCGCTGTTCGTGCGATAGTACTTACACTTCATTGGAGCTGACTGCACCTATGTTATTGAAGTTATGAATACACACAGGTTGACCGAGATTAACATCGCCGAATGCTTTTATCCATCTACATACTATTTGTCAACCATAGGTCGAAGACAGTCTTAAAAATGCTGTATGTCGTGGATATACTACCCTCGTAGTTATGTCAAGTTTATTTTATCATTGTAATAGTTCCTGCTTCTTCAATAGACCGGAATTAATTTGTCGCTTGCACATGTATTTCGATGTGACATTGTAGTGAACAACTTAGTCGGACGAGCACAGCAATGAATCTGTATCTCTGATTCACGGCCACGTTTTACAAATAACTATCGTATGTAAACAGAGAAGACCGTTGCTATTTTCTATTTTAATTTTTTTTTATATTACTATTTTTTTTTTATATTTAAGCTTTTTAATTTTAATGTCGAAGCACATGTAATTAAACTCTATTGCCGTAGTTATTAGGTACTTTTTGATATTGCCTTGGACTAATGAGTTTGACCGTTAAAGTACTTTTCTATTTCAAACAAAAATGAAGGAGATAAAGCGATGCTATAGGCATGTAATGTAAATTTCTTTCTACCCGACAGCGAAAATTATAAAAAAAAATTGTACCTATATATTTGCATATCTTGTATGTTACGATCTATATGATGCTGACTGTACGTGACTGTACCTTTGATTTTTATTTGAACTAATAGTGAACAAAATTGTAAAATTTTACATGTACTTATCGATCTAACTACCATCTTTTCAGGTCCAAATCAAGGTCAATCAAATCAAGGTAACGGCCAACAAGAGTTCCACCAACAACAGCAGATGATGTTTGGAGCACAACAACAAGGCGCCAATTCACAACAGCAGGCCAACTTCCAACAGAGATTCTAGATGAGAAGTCTGATTGATTTGGAATGATCAAATGTCACCAATATGCCAATTTTAATGTTGGACGAACGAAGCACATCATTGGCCAAATATGTTTACATTTTGAAATGTTAAAATTGCATAGATAGTAAGGAGAGGTCTTTAATTAGACAGTTCTCATGCCAGATTTTTTTCTGTTTGACATCATTTTCTAAACTGTTGTGATAGTTTCTTGTTTGAATAAAAACATGTTACAATGATACACGTCAAAAGTCGACCGTGGGTTTCCACTGCCAACATTCATACAAAACATCCAAAATAATTTAATTCCTATAACACATTTAGCATAATTGTTTTGATTTGTTAGAACATATATTTGAAATGATATTAAATGGCGATCTCTACTTGTAATAAAATGTATTTTTATAATTTTTTTTTAATTTACGTCCAACTGTGTAGTGTATGCATAAACGTAGTGTTGTTTGTCTCGAGCGTACACGCCATAAGAACATGCTGGAGAGAGGGGACGTCAGTCGATGTCAGACTTTTGGACCGGCAACACGTGTCGGTACGTGAACGAGCCAAATATAACGCTACCAACTGTTTCCATTGAGTTTTTGGACAACTCAGGATCTGTCGATACCTGTACATCTAAATATGAATGTCATATAAAGAAAAATAAAACCACTTGATACTTACTAAAAACACACTACACGTAAAAACGTACTACACGAATTTTAATTTTTCGTATAATTTTTTGTCAAAAGAAAAAAAGAACAAATATTTTTGCTTGATAATCAATATCGTTGGAAAAAAAACATGGGTCTGGGATACTTATCAGACAAAATGAAGTACAAAATACCACAAACCAGCTGTATTATTTCAATTAACATAAAAGTGAACTTGGTGGCAACTTCTATTGTAATTGTATTCTTCTTAGGTAAATATGCAATTATTTTACTATTAAATAAAACATTTAATGTAATTAATAGAATTTTTATTTATATTTACAGTTATCACTCTACACTCTATGACGACACACTATTTTGTAAAATAAATGTAATACAATATATTTAAAAATATGTTTAAAAATAACTTATGTTACTAATTGTCATGGACGGAATTGTTTCGATTATTATTAGACAAACTTTAATATAGTAAAATTAATTGAAACACTAACTTGAAAAGAATGTACCTTAAAAACTTTCGATCCTATAAAAAAAAACTTACAACATTATGAGTTCAACACAAATAATATAAATTATTAATAAAAAAATATGGAAAACAATGTAAAAAAAAACGTATTAAAATGTCAGGTTAAAATAACTACTAATTCACCCAAACTTTTAAGACTTATTTTAACACAAACAATAATACATAAACATGTTTTAAAATTAACTAGGATTAACAATTCAATAAGGAATGTTAAATTATACCGAACAAAAATTTATCGATGATGAATTTGGTATTTATGGTTTTAGACATTATTAGTTAGAATCATTTGGCGCGAATGGCGCGCTTTCGTTACAAAATCAAGTGTCAGAATGATTAGTGAGGGGACATATACGTTGACATTTTTGTAAGGCTAGTGTTGCGCCAGTACACCGGCACAGTATTGGATTTTCTTCCTAACAATAGGTAGCTGTGACATTGGGTCGTTTACTGATAAATTTGGAGTATTTATATTAATATTGAAACGTGTTATAATATCAAAATATAGTTGGCTAGACTTAAAAGGTAATAAGATCTTCGCATTACATGGAAAAAAACTGTTGATAGTAAATTTCTTCAGTCTGCTATTTCTCTCTTAATTAGTATATTATATAATATGCAAATTTAATTAAATTTGAGTATATTAAAAAAACAAAAATACAATGACGATTATAATCAAGTTAAAATTCAGTTATCGACTTATACGTAAGTTAAAGAGAGTAAAATCTGAGGAGAGATCAATTGCAAAGTCTTAGGTAATTTAACTTTTGTACAGTCGCCTTCTTTCGCGGTATATCAGTTACAGAAAATCGCTTGCACCTTACAACGAAAGTAACCTCCGTCCCTTATGAATTATCAAATATGCTATTGTTGCAACATTACGTAATATTTCGTACAATAACATTCAAAAGTGGCTTCTTATTTGTAAGTATTGTAAGTATTTTTTAATTTACACAAAATATTAAACAGAGGCTTATGTGGAATACCGAGAATGAAGCCGACTGTACATGTATGTCTCTTTCATTTGATAATGTCATCCAATGTTCCTTTAGATTGTGTATTATTTTTTTTAAATTAAGTATAAAACTATAAGAACTACAAATGAGAAATTTTTTAAATCGTTGTGCAAATAATTGTTAAATTCTATTCAGTACGTGAGATAATCAGGGTTGTCAAATCATAAAACGTGATAAAATCAATAATAATGTAAACATAATATAAAACAAACGCACACTCTTTGAAATTATGCATTCGTATATCAGCACATCATTAAAAAGAAAAATACAAAAAAAATAGCACAACGTATATTAAAAAATGTTACACAATAACTACTTTTTTCATATTATGTACACGATGTAATAAACGAGTTGTTACAATCATAAGAGTATTAAAAACTTTTTGCGTTCCACTAAAAAGTATCAAGTTTGTAACGTATTTTTGGTTCAATAAACAGGCGGCTTTATATTTACATAGCACTTAAGAACTGAAAATGTAAGGCAGTGTTATGATAACTTCTTATATAAAACAAGAAGATACTAATTTGGCAACTTACAGTTTTCCTAAAGTACCATCAGCAAAAAACTGTATCAGTTTATCTTGATACTTGAAAGACTTACTTGGATATATTTTAAGCACTTCTCTCATTGGGTATTATTTGAACAACAGTTTCTTGATTGTTACTGAGTACAGTGTATTGCGATTTGTTTAGTTCATCTCTTCTTATTTTGCTTTTGTCGACGGTACGAATGCGCGTTCTCAACTTGCTGCACCGACCGTCCATGATCTTCTCATAAGGCTCTGGAAATTACAAAGAATAATATCTTGAGTAAAATGTATATTTAGACGCAAAGAAAAAAGTGTAATGAAAGTAAGGAAAAAAGGTGTTCGGCAAAAGTGATTATTTTTTTGAAAATTGTTGATGATTTTTAATCTAATTTAGGAGAATACCAATTACAAATGTTCTTAAGGTTATCAGTATCTTAATGGAGTTGAAATCTATTCAATTAACAAAACACTTTTTCTTTAGAATGCAACAAGAACTTGTAGAAATCCATCCGTCGTATTATTAGGTGTTAAGGTATTATGTAATAACGCGGTGACAGACAGCATTATTATACAAACAATGGGATTCCGGATTCTTGTGTATACAAAAGAACACTTGATGGTTTAAATATAGAATAAAGCTATTTTACAATGAACAATATGTTATTTAGGCTTACGCTCTGTGATATTTAGAACGTAACGTGATTATCATCGTGATTTATGCGCCGCAACAAAAATATTTAAATACAGTCCACATTTTTTCTTTGTATCTATATCCTAATGTAATTGTTAATCATACTTACGATTTTTTCGGAACGAGTTATGACACGCTAAGTGACAAATCGAAGGAAAACCTTTGAGCTTATCTGGGTTTATCGGGACCATATTTAAGGGGGCTCCACAAATAGGTTCCTTCTTTCCTTTGCATGAGTTGACACAGACGCTGTAGTTGTGTCCTTTCCGGCTCTGGGGTCTACGTGATGACGGCCTTCTAGTCGTAGTCGACGGATTAATCTTAATATTTGTGATCGACCCTCTCGGTGCGCTTACACGTATTGTTAAAGCTGGGGTTTTATTGACGCGTTGTGTGGATGGGACTGCACTAGTTGCATTTGTTGTTGGAATTATGCTTACACTGCTTGCATAAGGGTTTCCAGTGGAAGTCACGCTAGGGCCAGCTGTAGAACTCGAAAATATCGAAGGGCTGTAATAGGCTGGACCCAGTAAAGTACTTGGGTTTTGCCATGGCCCACCGAATAGTATAGGGGATGAAGTGACGAAGATCTGCTCCTCACGTTTGATCGGTCTAATAGTGGATGAGCTCATTTGTACCGCAGACATGACATCCGGATGCGGTCTTCTTGTTGCAGTATCCGTTGTAGTTGTCGTTGATTGAGTTGTAATCGACGCGGCAGTGATTTCTTGAGTTGTTCTCTGTGTTATAGGTTCTCGGCTGCTTCGTTGAGTTGATTCCGGTTGAGTACTTGGTCTAAATTGGGAAGCGGATTCGGGATATTGTTGAATAGATAACGGAGCTTGCTGGTATATAAGGAAGTAATTCGGTTGCCTGGTTGATGGCTGTTGCTGGGGCGATGCTTGAAATTGAGGAAATGATTGTAATTGAGGCATAGGGCGTTCTGGAAGACTTTGCGCAGATATAACTTGAATTGGTCGTGGTTGAGGCTGGTATATCACTCTCTGTTCTCTTTCATCTTGAGGCCTAGGTAATATTGAAGCATTTCTGTCTATGGGCAAAACTCTCCTCGTGGTATCTTCTGTAGTCGATTCCTCCACAGAGGCCTGACTTGACGATGTCGAAGATAAGGTTGAAAGATCCTTTTCGGTTTCGGAAGTTGTAGGTGAGGTTGCAACTACGATGGGATGAGATGATAACGTTTTAGGGGTCGTAAATATTTCCGTTATTGGTTTCGGTTGGTAACTGGATTCGTTTATGAGATTGGCCTCGTACCATTTTGGTAATGAATTCGATATTTCAGCTCGGCATAGTTGTAACACTGCAAGAAATAGAAAACCGTGAGTTTCAATGATTATACACATAATATTTATTGAACGTAGGTGTTATCTTACTAATATTATAAATGCGAATGTTTGGATGTATGGATGTTTGTTTGAAGGTATCTCCAGAACGGTTGAACGGATCCTACTAAAAATTGGCATATATGTAGAACATAGTCTGGAAGAACACATAATCTACTTATTGAGTTTTTTTTAAATTCTGCTTAGACGGAGTTGCGGGCGCCAGCAAGTAATCTATAAATTGCAACAAGAAAGACACAATCTTTCAGTACTATGTCGGTAGACATCTAGTAGTTGCTAGTTTATGAACGAAATAATTGACGATTTTTACAATCTTTGAATCTTATACGTTGGGTTTACAATGTTTGTTTGTTTATTTCATTCTTATTGTAGCGAGCTCCATCACATGTTGCGGCAGAAAAGAAACCCGTTTTCAAGGTCCTCTTTTTGCAATCGGTCTCCCCTAAGGTCAAGTCCCTTCGTCAATATAGAGGTAATATTTTCGTTTCATTGATTAAACTCTCGCTAAAAATAAAACGAATATTCTCAATTTTACAAGTATGTGAAAAGGAAGTAATTTATGGAACATTCTAAATGTATTTAACTTAGGTCATAGCTCATATTTGGCGAGCGTAGGGCCTAAAACTGTGACTAATATTGTAAAAGCCAGTATCTGTTGTTTTATAAAAGGCCTTCATGGAAATTCCGCGTGCTCACCTGGTATCATATAAAAGTATTTTTACTTTTTTTTATAGTAAATGGTACTTTCTGCGCTTAGTCTGATGAGTAAGGTACTGATAGTTGCTGGGAAGAAACCATTTGATGTAAAATTTTGTTCGACAACATTTTTATTATATTTGGTGACCTAATTGAAGACGACGAGGACAATGTATTTTTGTTTATCAATGATTCTATTAGTAGGTTGGTTGTTATTGGGTAGTAGGTAACTTAATTTTTTCTAAGATACCATGATAATGGGTTATAAATTTGCCCACTAATTCCATGTTATACATGGAAGTTTACCAGCAAGGAGGTTTTAATCCGATCGATAAAGACTAGCGCATACGCAATATCTACTGTACGCATCTAGATACGAGTAATGTGTACGATAATGTACACAGTGTCCATATTTAGTAAAGCAGTTAATGACACGTTTCACATTCCATTGGCAACTGTGACTTGCGTAGGACAGTAGTTGCATTTAGAATTTTATAACCACGGCCCAAACCTCTACATCTCTACATACCTTGGAGACTTGATAGCAACAATTGAGGTGAATGATACTACAAGAATTTAATCGCGAATATTATGCAATTCAAAACGAAATCGAAATATCGTAGTTAGAGCATCCTAAGATAATTTTTCACTCTCAATTAGAGATAAAGTCTTAGGCTTAATTTATTAAGATACATATGACCAAACAAGGTCTGAGAAGAAATTGTCATAGAGTAATTGTTAGAAATAATAATAAACCGCCATTTCCTGAACCGTCGACCATAGTTTATTTCTATTCTTACTTTTTCTTTGGGTAATAATACATTACTATATAAAAAGAATAAATACACTATAGGAAATGATGTAACTGTAATTTCGCAATAGAATTTATTTGACCGACAGCCGTTCGATGAACCGAATACATATTACGAAATTTACAAATGAGCTTTGGTGAAAAGTAGTTTTCCTGCGGCACGCATAAGTTGCTCCTACTATTGGCCTTAATTTAAACTTTTATTTTCTTCCATTAATATATTACGTATTTTATTAGCCTAGCCTTGACGGCTTAAACTTTACACTAAAGAACTGTGTTCGATTTTAGATACAGTTATATTTCCGACAATAACATAACAAAATAGGCAGCAAACGCAGACAGAAAGCAAATTATTATTATTTTTAATTATAAATACTGATTTAGCCTTCCCTCTTTCCATCTTATTTGTTTTAAAATGAGCTTATTAAAACAAATCGCAAACTCAAAATTCCGTAATTGTAATCGGCATTATATCTCACAAACACGCAACATGGATTTAGAATACAAAATGTTTCGTGCTATGATCACCTAATGTACGTATACGAAATATATAGGCCGTATACCATGCTCCATTAAACCTTAACACACCGGTTATGTTTACATCGTAACAATATGAAAGTGTACTCACGCGCTATAACGACGAGCGTCGATACGTGCTTCATGATGAACTGCTGAGGACGGAGTGCCGACTGCGGCCACGGACCGTACGCTAGCAGTAATGTGTGCAAGATGGCCAATTGTTGTCTGAACTACCGGACAGTCCCGTTTTTCTCTACAGGTTACCATAACCCGTCTTGTGTGTATCTTAAACGGAATACTGACTTGTCTTGGTACTATGTTTTTTGAGTTGGTTTGCGTTTAAAACGACAGTTTGTTCTTTTTTGTTTTGATAGGATCTTACATTGCCTGGTTTTCATTCCCGTATAGATATGTGCAAAAACTTTTGGTCTCAGAGACAATCAGACGATGATATCAATATTGCTTAAGAAGAGTCTCCATGAAATCTATGGTTTGGTGTGCCAGCTTAAATAGAATTCCTGTCTGTTTCTCATTCGTTTTTTTGTTAATTAAAATAACTTTTGTAACATTTACACGAACAGAGTTTAAAAAGCCTGAATTCGCCGAATGTAAGATGGTGTGGTTGATTTTATGGACTTCTTATTCTATGCTATGTTGTTCTTTTAATTCTTATCAGATGGTACCGCTCAGTTTATAAATTTTTCTCATAAAGTTGGTTACCCTAAGCATGGGAGTGGCAGGCTGGCCGAGTGCGTGCTTGGCACCGAATCATCGAAGGCGTCGAAGTCAACTTTAATCGAGTCCATCAGGAATTGTAATTGAGTAATGTCGAAATTAAAGGCATAATTGTTCGCATAGTTACTGATATGTCTAAGCCATATTTAAGTATCTATGAAGTAACTTTACTGAACTGACACAAAAAAATAATTAACCTACCGTTAATCTGAAAATGGTATAATAATTTTATCACAGCTCATACCTTCTAGGTCTTTTTAAGGTATGGATAACACAAACATTAAAATTAAATGATGAAAGATATGCAATATTATTGTGAGTTTCCACTGCGAAACACATGTTATCATCCCTCAAATTTGTCTTTGGAAAAACAAAGATAACATGTTTTTGTACAGGTTTCATCAGTGGAAACTCACCTTAACACCACCATTAAACATCAATGTGTTCATTCCTCGTTCATATTAGTTTTAATTGTTAGGTTTCTTAGTATTGTTCTAAAGGATATACTTTTTCATTACGAACATTCATCGTCATGGAAGGCAGCATTGTAGAATAGAACCTAAACGTTACTAATTGTGTAACTTTATCCTAAACAATATTGAACGAATCGGAAGCTGAGATAGATTGCTGTTAAATGCCCAAACACACATTATCCTTATATCTTGAAAGCTCAGTCTGCAGGTGCCTTATTGATCAACCGAAACGCAGAATACATCGTGTTTGTGTTCTTTGAGGTCGTGGTATTTCACCGGTCGAACCGGCCCATTTGGCAACAGATGTGCTCTACCGCTGTAAAATATTTACATGTAATAGTATTTATTTATTATTAAAATGTATCATCATCATCATCAGCTCACTATACGTCCCCACAGAGGGGCTCGAAGCCCACTCTTAGTTAAGGGTGTATTAAAATATATACACACATACATTTACACAGATAGGTTGAGCGTTGGAGCCTGTCATATAAACTGTGTGACAGACACCGGCCCCTTTCCTTTACAATATACATAGTTAGAAAATAAAAGTGTGTGTGTGTATTACAATTTTGATTTAACCCTTTCAGTGATTCGTTTTTCATTCTTTGGATTTACGTAAAGTCGATGGCACTGAACGTGTTAATATCTATGTGGGAAGATAAACGCTGGTATAGAATATTTTCAATATAAAACGGATAATAACAGCAGGAGAACATAAATTATAACCGTGGTGTATTAAGGACAATGGTGATTGTACACGTATTGTAAAATCTGTTAACGTGGAAAATTCAATATCAGAAGTGATCTGTCTTAGATAATAGAGGCAATATCAATAAGCTCCCACGATTGTACCATTATGGAGGAAAAATGAGCATAGACAAGCATAGATGGATATTAACTTTAGGTTGAATTAATCTTCTTATAGTTAGAGTTTATTTATACCTTCAACACTGAGTTTAGCCCCGTGCTAAGCTTTTTTTAAGAGGTATAAAAATATATTATACTTGGTTTTGATTCTTTTATTTTTAACACGTTATCTTTGTTAACCAAATTATGACATTTTCTCTACTATTTAATACTTTACAAAGTCCAATCTAAAGACTATACAATTGCGATAGTATGTATGATGTTCTTACTCCGTGAACTAATCATAATTGAGGACTGATTAACGTTGATTTTAAATTGAGAAAGTAATTGCTTTAATAGCTAGGATATTAGAGACAATAAAGAGGAAAGATTCCTGCAAATTGTCTATAGTCAGTTTAAAAATAGAGAAATTTGCTGTTATCATCGAGCCAAGGCTCACACTAGAAATGAAGACAAATAAACAATTCTTAGGATATGTCGAGACAAGGCATTTTAAATCGTTTAATTTTCCTACAACTAAGAATTAAAAATCAAGAGTGAGGCGACAAATGTCTTCGCTTGAGTTAATATTTGTCCGTCCAGTTTCTAGTACTTATACTTTGGTATGTACCGAAAAATGTAGTCATGTTTACAGAGTAACTGGATGTTTATAAGACGCTCGGCTTAAAATTCATCTGTGATAAATTACAACAAACATATTTTAAGATAAAGCGAGTTTGGTTATTTGAATTAATAAAGATGGTTTACTGTAGTTTTTACCGCCATATCTAAACATCTGGAAACTTTGTACAGCCTGCACTACACTTTGCACTGATGTACAATGCACATTAATAAAAAAATCATTTAACATTTACATTGGATACTTTTATTGATTTAAAATAACGTTAAATAATCCAGTGATTCTCTTAAAATTCTAATCGTATTTATGAAATGAAACAAAATCAAAGTGATAAAGATTGTGCCAGTATAATTATAGCATGAACAAAATGTAAAATACTTGTATGGATTGAACAGGATTTGTTTCTTTCTATGTATTTATAAAAAGATGAAACTCTTGTAAAAAAGGATCCCACTCTCAATCGGTGACCGCTTACGATTCCCACCAACACTCCTGCGTTCTTTTCATTGGGATCACCGGTTCCCTTGCAAACTAATGGACCACCAGAATCACCCTAAAATTCCAATATATTTATAGTGCTGGAAATTTGTGTTGATGCGTCGGGATCAAAAGTACGCTTTTGAACGACGTGCCAATTCAAAAGCCGAATTCACTTTTAAATGTTTCTCTATATCCAATTTCAACAACCATTCCTCTTTGGCTTTAGCAACACTTTTACCCGTCGATCTTATTTGCAACAGTATGGTTGTCAAATGGGAGATTAAAAATAGTAAAAATAAATAAGATTAAAAGTTGCTACTTGCCTTTCCAACATCAGTAACCACACTAGAAGTACAGACAAAATGGCGCATATTCCTATAATGTTTACGGTTACATATACTCCTAGGGACAATTTCCAGATGTGCCAAAAGTAACTTTTCTGACTTAGCCTGAAAGAGAATATCACGGACACTTTAATATTATTAAAATGCTATTCTAGTGATTGATGTATTTATATTTTTACTTTTTAAATATTCATTATTGTCTAATTTGTCTAGTTTTAAAACTCGCGGCTATTGTCAGCGTAAAAAAATGAATTTTCGTTTTGTGTTATGTGCACGGAATATACTTGACTAAAATGGAGACAACAATATGCGTCAATACAAATGTAATGACGATGGAATTTGTCGTTAAAAGTATATAACCACAATAAATTCAGAAACAGTCACTTTAAGAGTACTCACATTGCCGACGCTTACAATTTGACCATAGCCAGAAACCAGACACTTGCCTGTGTAGTCCGCGTACTGCTTTGCGTAGGGTATAGGACCCACATTGCTGTTGTATTTGAAATCTTCTAAAAGGTACTGTCAAGAAGTATATAAAGGATTTTATTTTTTTATTATTACTTTTACATTCAAACTTATACAAGCTCATATTATATACGTTAAACTAAAAATCTAGCCGTATTTTCATATCATAAAGATTAAGAAAGATAATAATTATTTGATGTTATTTACTAGTTATTAGAGCTTACTTGATTTTAAATTACAAACTGTAGCTTACAAATTATTGAAAATTAACTAGCATTAAAAGAATAACAGCTTTGTATTTAATGGAAAGACAAAACCAATTTATACAGAATAATAAGTGCGGAAATTTTTCCGCTATTGCAAACTTCCTTTCGAACTGCTTAAAAACTTTTCTGACGGTCTATTACAAAAGTAACCACCGATTTATTTATATTTTTATGTAATATATTATACTCTATGAGGTACCGATATATATAAACAATCAGCGTTCAGACAAAGGAACAGATTACAGATTTCCTAAGAACAATCCTGACATATATTTATCGTTTACTGCACCTGCGCAGACAATCATTTGTCTTAATGCATACTATTTTCCTAGAATATGTTTTGCACTTAAGTTTTAATAAAGATCTGTCTTTTGGCGTTTGATATCGATAACCGAGGTATATTATAGTATAATTGCTACAAAATAAAATTGCATACCACAAGAGCAATGTCGTCTTTTGGGAAATGGTAAGTTTTCGGGTAGATTGCATACTTTAGTCCTCTCCATTGGCCCTCAACTGTATTGTCCGAAGTGGGTCTCTGGCCCCTATTTTTAAGAGTGCCCGCCGCTGCGAACTTGTTGTACAATTTTTGTTGATCTACGCGCCTATAAAGAAACTGTAAGACTTCAAACTTGCTTGTAATAATTATTATTAAGTACTAACTATAAGCAATACTATAGTAAATATGAGATGCCACTAATGATTACATCATCTATATCATTCAAATAAAGTCGCGACATTATAATATTTTATTTTTCTGCATTAATGTCATTCTTACGAATGAAAGAAAGACAGGAGCATCACATTTAACCTTCACTTTTTTTGCAAATTGCAAATTAGAGATTAGATATGATATGTTGACGTTAGATGAAAATAATAAGAACACTAAAACGCACCCAATTTTTACGAAGATCTTAACACACATGCTCATGTCAGGGACGAAGCAATGTGCAGCAGAGAGCACTTTGTTAGGAGCTATTATTGTTCCGCCGCAGAACGTCATATACGTTTGCCTTGTTCGAGAGGACAGCGCTTTGAATCCAACCTTATATCAGAATAAATTTAGTTACAATATGATAAACAAGGAATTACACATATCAGTAAATTTCCCCAATATTAATTCTCAAGCTGGTTATTAGTAACTTACTATCACTTCCTTCAATTTATGGATTCTATTTAGATGTATGGTAAATTTTGTTTCTTAGAGGTAAAAGTTGGTATTTCAAGAAGCATGTCCATGACAGGAGGAGAATTTGGTGTTAAGCATACCTGATACGGGACATCCCCGAGCTTGGCCGGCCAGCCGTTGACAACGCGAGGATAGTAATCTTCGTAGAATACAGTTCTATTTGTTTGCGATAAACAATTTTCGAGAATTGTGAAGAAGACGAGAAACACGAATTGATTTACAAACATTAACACATTAAAATTTATCTAAGAGAAAATGTAAATTGACATTGCTTGGCCAAAATTTTAAAGACTTTTGACAGAAAGAAATATTCAAGATTGACAAATACTAAACAATATCATTTATATACTACCCATAGATTTACCAAGATTTACAATTTCGGCAATTTAACCATTACTATAATAGAATTTGCTTTTCAATGTACATCAACCATATTTATTTGGTACTAGCTGTCGCCCGCGACTCCGTCCGCGTGGAATTAAAAAAACTTAAGAAGTAGCCTATGTTCTACATGTATACAAAATTTGAGCAAGATCCGTTGAGCCGTTCCCATCCATCTAAACATTCGCATTTATAACATCAGTTAAAAGTAAGATAAAGAATTTACACAGTACTTAAAAAGTGATGAAATTGTTTAGGTCATCGTAATTGTAGTTGCAAAGCTGTAGCAGGAAACCTTATCACATGGATTTACTGCACTTTGATCCAGTGGAATGAATGGAATCTGAATGGATTATATCCATTATAATCCATTTGTAGGACATCAAACTGTAGCAACCGGCGGATTAAACCAGCCGTACGAGAGGAAATAAAGCCATTTACGGATTTACTTATAGGATTAAAGAGAGAAAGATTAAAGCCGCAAAGATTATTCATGTAGAAAAAATCAATCCAACGCAGTACACCGTTCTCAATTGATTATTTATTTAAATATGCCTAAAGAAATTATTGGAATTAGAAGAAATTAATGCATCCATAAACTCCATTCACATCTCCTAAGTATTATAGCAACATTATTTTCATCTATTCTTACATTTCCAAGTCAAACATCAACAAAGAAATATTTGTGAAATGACAATATTGTCATATTTATCACATGACAAGTTCATTTTAGATCAACACTTTTAATAAATTTACAAATAATTAATATTACAAATATGTTTTTATTATGAGATAAACTTCGATAATGTGTTGTTAAAATTAATAGTTTGATTTTCATAATGTACATATAAATGAGGGGAATAAGGTGTAAACGCACCTTAACTGTAATAATTGTTTTACTGATGTTTTTTGAACAATATTTGTGTAAATTGGAGCCCTTTGTTGAAGTTGTCACTACTAACGGTACTTTCAACTTTATTGTAAGTATCCAATACATAAAATATGACTGTAAACAAGTATTTAAGTATTTGGTAACAAAGCATACTGTGGCAAACCTGCGTAGGTTAGTACAGTCAGGTGCATAAATGTGTATATATTGATAAAACATTAAAAACTTGTGCAGGACTTGCATACTTATTTTGATAAGTATGCAAGTATCAGTCTTTATCATGTATTCATGGTCGAAAGCATATGAATGGACACGTGTATACATTAAAAAAACAATAGCTTGTACATGTTTCTAAACTGTAATAAATGTATCCATACTTTCGCAGCTGACTGTACATACTCACGGCATCCATTTTCTCTAACAGCCATAGTATCCTAACTATTTTCTTAAACATATTTACACAATTCATTCTTACTGTCTTTTTCTCTTGTCTTGAACTATAAGTTTGATTTAAATATACGATTTTGAAGTGTGTTTGCAAGAGTTTGAATACACGAAAAGAGTGTGCTAATAACACCTTTGTAGTTAACTGATGTTATGTTCTGATTTATATTTTACTATACCTTTTTATGACTGTTTATTAATTAATTAATTAAAATTACTCCGAGGATTAGATGTTTTCTTAATTATTGATTTAATATTTTTAAGGACGTATTGAATGAAAATAAGAAATACCAGGCCATTCAGGACTTTTGCCCTTTGAAAATAGTTGGTGGTAAAGCAGTCAGCAGTGCTTTGGTGCCTTATCAGGTAAGTTAAACTCACTACATTTCGTAACTTTCACACCTGTCACTGTTGCTGTGGATTTATAATAATTCCTTATAGTGTTACTCCTACAGCCTGGATTAAAAATATATAAATAGTCCACATGTTCTTCCAGAATATGTTCTACATCTGTGCCAAATTTCAACGAGATCCATGCAGCCGTTCTGGAGATATCTTTAAGCAAACATCCGTCCATCCAATCATCCAAACATTCTCATTTATGATATTAGTAAAATTTCATTAAGATCCGTTGAGCCGTTGCAGATATACCTTCAAACAAACATTAATCAAAACATTCGTATTCATTAGTAAGAGTATTAGTAAAATATGCAATATCTTTGTAGTAAATTCTTTGAATCGTGGAAAAAGGCTAGTTATTATATATTTTTCAGGTTTATTGCATTACACATTCCTACGCGTAACAATACAATGGTCAATAGCTCTATAAATCAACTCATTTAAAATTCAATACGAATACGACAAAAACTTACTACACCGAATGTGTACGAATCGTGACCGATTACATAGTAAAGACAAAGGTTTTTTTTTAATAAAAAAGGCCTGTCGATCAAAAAAGTATTTATGGTCTATTATTTGAATAATTTAAATCTTACTGATATTATAAATGCGAAAGTTTAGATGGACGGATGTTTGTTAGAAGGTAACTACAAAACGGCTCTATGGATATCGATGAAACTTATCATAGGTGTAGATCTTAGTCTGGAAGACATAGGCTACTATTAAAATCCGCACAGAGTGTCGGGCGATAGCTAGTTCACTATAAAATAATAAATAAATATTCATTCATTCATTCATTCAAAAAATAGAGCTATTTTCCACACAGTATCCAAATGTTAGCTTTTATAGTATAATACTCATACCATGGCAATCATTTTTATCTATATTGACAACTATAGTAAAACTTATAGTGGGTATTCGTAAATATTATTAATCTTAGCTTAGCGTATTTCGACCAATATAAATTGTGTAAAATAAATCAATGGCTGCTGTTTTCTTGATTTTGTGGTGTTTTTTAACGTTTTTTGATAATTTACTTTTCAGGTAGCGTTAAGAAAACCTCATTACATTGGAATGTATTGGGACTCGTTCTGTGGTGGGTCACTTGTCACTTATAGATATGTCCTCACCGCCGCGCACTGTATCGTCTCCGATAAGTAAGTGTACTATAACAAGATTACAATGTACATTGCGTTTTCACCACCGAAACACCTGTACAAGAATATGTTCATCTTTGTCATTCATAATAAAAAAGGAGAAAGAAATATGTTTTTGTATTTATACAATGCTTCCAATTATGTATTATAGTTCGCATAGCGTTATTTAAAACGTCTTCAAATTGGGACTTATATATAATTGCGTTGCATGCGTTGCTTTCATCACATCCCCTTTTTTAATTTCTCATCTTTTTGGTGTAATACATTTAAAATATATGCTTATGAGTTTTTTTGATAGTTTATTTTTTGTTCGCTTTAGCTGTTTGTTCGCTGCTACTCATAAAATATAATTGTGCACAGATTAAAATTAATAGCAAATGATATCCGAGTGGTCGCGGGTTCTGCGGTGTCAGGGTCGGTGTTCCTCACCATGTATTTCGAGAATTGGCGCAGCGTCGACCATTACTACATACATATGAACTACCATACTACATTCTGGGAAAATGACATTGCCCTACTTAACGTAAGTGTTATTTACATATTTTTCTTGCGTTTCTACCGAACATTTCATCTAACTGTGGGTTTATGAGACCGCTATCTCCGTTGAAAACATATTGCTAACTCTGTTCTGTTAAATATAATGACAGGGATGATGAGATGATTTACTCAGAAAATTTGGTCTCAGAAACTTACGATAAGTCTGTCGTAACGAATGGATAATGATATTTTGTGTAATTGTGTGTTGAACATCCCCTCAATTTTGTGTTCTCTACACATTTCTTTTTATAATCTAAGGAGATACGTTTCTAACAACCAATGTTAATAATGTTAAGAGGTAAATCTTAACAAGACCACGTTGTTGTGCCTTAAGTATCTGTTGAATAATTCTACTAATATTACCTACTAGATATTGAAGTTAGTATAATTGACTATAAGAGCAGGTGGTCTTTTATAATAGAAACATTCAGAATAGTTTTAAAACAGAACAAGTATTATTATTTTACCATTAAGGAAATATTCATCATAGCTTATATGAAGATTAGAAAATAAGATAAATTTAAAATTAAAAAGATCTTTGTTATAATACATTTTTATATTGAAAACTCTATTGATGGATTAATTGTAGCACCAAAACAAGCTTATGTCACATTTTTTCAGTTGGAAAAGCCATTTATCAAATCAATAGCGGTAAGACCTATACGCCTACATACCGCAGATTTAAATGTGAACGTCGACGTTGGCTCCAAATGTGTTATTTCTGGTTTCGGCACCAAAGAGAATGTAAGTAATTGTTTTACCGGAATTACGATAATTGAAGGATCATGCTCCATGTTTTATTGAGTTTGAGAATATACATAGGTCCTAATGAATACATACATTATATTCTGGATAAACAACACGAACTAAACCGTAACCCAAACAGGTCATAGTTCAATAGAACTAAATCCAGTCTGGCATGCCTGCATCTCGTCTGTGACTTATTTCAAGTCATGTCAAAACATTTCACCTCGTTTTTCAAATTACTTTTTCAGAACGAGCCGTCAGCGGAGTTGAGAATGGTCTGTGTACCAATTCTACCGACTACGAAATGCGAAGAGACGTATGGTGTGGCGTACCAAAGGGCTTTCTATTGGTGCGTCGGCGCTAAAGGGAAGGACAGTTGTCAAGTAAGTACCAACTCTGAGCATTTTGTACCCCACTTTAAAACTGGTACAAGTTACGAAGTGTAATGTTTCATAAAAAAGAAATAAAAACATTCAATAATAATTAATATATTCCATTGCTTCAATAAAAAAAACTGTGTTTGATAAGACTAGGTATATAATATATGGTCTCAGAAATAAGCTACTTTACATGAGATTTATTTGAATAAAAAGTACACAAATTAATGTTTATAATTTGTATCCGGGTCACACATTATCCCAGTGCTTCTGTTCTTCAAGTCAGGAATGCTAGCAATCATCTGCTTCAATTCGGCTGTAGTGGTTACATTTTTCACCAATAAATTCGCGGTATTAGGTTCTTCGATTGTATGAACATTCTGCGGATGCTTTTCGTATGCAACGTAATAGTTATCATTGATGAGTCGGAAAATGACTTGCCTTTTGATTTCACCATCACATTTACATTTCAATTCTAAAGCTGGTGCAACTTCTTCTATATTCTCAACTACTAAAGTTGGCATTATTATTGAACGAGCTGGGGTATCCGTTGGTCCTTTCTCTGAAGTTACTAAATGTGCAGTTTGATTACCACAACTGCATGCATTAATTTTTTTCACAGTCATAGTATATTTATCACATATAGGGTAAGTTACTACGTTCGGAAATGTGACTATTGGTAGCCATTCTCCCATAAACTTCTCTATTGAAGTCAATTCCGCGGCACCGAACAAAAATAATAAAATAATTCTCCACATGTTTGTACTTTGGAAGAATACTTGTTACTATATTAAAAATGGCCAGTTTAATTTATAAATAATTTCTGGAATGATAATTATTGGAATAACAAAACAGTTTAGATAAGTCATGTTTATATTAATGTGTTGGGTGTACTTTATTGTTCAATAACCGATTATTTATTACTTATAAATATAATTAACATTGCTTTAATGGGTCATTGTAATATATTTTTTTTGATAACATTTTACCAAGTAGTTGTTTTAAATTAAACCCTATTTATTAAATTACTATAGACTCTATACGAAGCCACTTATTACTGTTTATTTGAGAACTACGGGAGTAAAATATTTACAAAATTTTCCAAACATAAACTTTACTCTTGTAAATGAGTTCTTTGGGTTGATTTTTTTTACTTCTTAATCTTATTATTGTTAATACAATGTTAAGAATTTAGTGGATTGAATTTATTTTACCGTCTTTTGTAACCATGAGTATTTAATTTCTGACTATGTATCCTATTTTTTTCTTTACAATGTTTCTCTAGGGTGATTCCGGAGGACCTCTCGTATGCTACGGAGTTCAAGTTGGCATCGTATCGTGGGGCAGCGATTGCGGTATGTATCCTGGAGTTTATACACGGATTCTGCCTTTGACCAAACAGCAATATGTGCCATTTATTCAAAAAGATGCAATTTGTATACGTATGAATTTTGCAGTTATTCTTGTTTGTTTTTTAATATCACTGTATTTTGTTATTTAATAAAGATGGTCTGCACTTTGTTACATATTATCATTTAATTTTCAAATTTGTTTATATTGAGAATAGCGCCATCTATTGGTAGCTTTGAACATGCTTGCTACGACTGCGTCTTAAGTTAATATTAAGTTCGTTAAGTGTGCTTTTAATAGAAGATGTCGCTGGTTGTTTTTGTTTAGTTGAGAAATGTGAATTTCTTTGAAATCTGGTTAATACAACTTAACTATTGTAATAGATATACGCTTTTACATTCAGAAAGTTTCATGATAATCAATTCTTTATAACTAGTTTACACTAAAATAAAAAATTATTTCTGACACTAATTTTAATATAAATGTACGACAAATATGTCTTACTTATTGCAGTAGAATTTATAATTTTAAAAAAGAAAATTTGCAAGCAGACAAACTTAAATCCCATGAGTAAGAAAATAGATTGCTCAAAATATTATTTATTAAACTAAGATTTCAGTACACTAAGACCCGTCTTGCGAAGAAACTTATTTCCGCGTTGATGTAATCTTGGAATTAGTTATAAGTCGATCTCAGACGTCTGCTTGCATTATATATCAAGAGTTTCATTACCGCCTAGGTGCCTCTCTGCCGAACCCCGACGGTGCGGACGTGAAGGCAGCACCCGGAACTCGCTCCATAAATTATAACTTCCGCTAGTTTAGAGATGGATGCCTCTAGTCCGTATCACACTGTAGGAAAATTGCTGTAAACTATTTTGTAATAATTTATCTACTACTACTACAAGTTACAGAGAGAAGTTGATAAGAAAAAAATGAGGTTATCTAAGGAGAGACTTGAGATCTAATTCACCCGTTAAAGTGAAAATCCTTTTAAGCGATGCTTTCCTTTAGTATTATAATATTTATTTTATTACTCAGGTTGATATACAGATAGAGATTTTGACATGGAGACCGTGTTTGTTTTGTCAATAATTAATCAAATTCGGGATCCTATTGTAATATAATTAATTTTGTCTTCATATCCGTAGATAAAGCTATTACATTATTCAAAAGGCTTGCAACAATTATTTATCTATTATTATATTAATACCCCTTATTTTCTTTATATTTCATTACTTGCATATTAGTAAAAACACATTCAATATTATATCATTTTCACAACGTGTGAATAGTTCTCAAAGTGATCGCTACTACGTATTGTCTTGAGAATCGTATTTAATTAGCGAAACCACAGACAGATGGCGCTGCCCAGATATTAATAAATCATCTTTACTTGATGTGTTATATCTTGAATTTTAAAGTAACCAAGAATTATGGTAAATATAAAGATGCTGCTTATTATTTACTTGCAATAAGAAACACTGAACCCTTGAAAAGCCTTTGAAAACTGAGATAACTAAGAAAAACTATGTATGATCTTAGACTTACGTCTTGTCTGAAACAAACACAAACTACTAAGTTTGGTTAACTTAATTGTTAATCGTAAGTATGATTGATGCAATTCCTTTTAAGTTATAACACATGCTTATCGAATTTGTATGACGTCATATCTTGTCTTGTTTTATCCTTGGTTTCCGAGACCAAAATCTATGTACAAAACATATCGTTATCCCTCTTGTTATCTTTGACAAAACAGAGAAAACAATATGTATTATACAAGAGTCTCAGAAAGCAACTATTAGTCGAATTGATATATTTTTTTAAATTTTAAAATGTGTCATGCTTCTTTATCACTATCGTAGCTAGTAACTAGCAAGCCCTATATTCCACAGTCTAGCTAACAATCCCTCTAAGGCGTTACTAATTAGCTTTACTAAGTCCAACTAATTAGAACTATGTCAAACTGAGCTACTGATTAAGTGGTACGAGACTGTTGCACTAAGTTCGCCAAGTTGATTCCAAGTTGTATTGCCTAAGACCGAATCCTGTTAACCGCAACGCTAAGTTGCATTAAGTTACTAAAGTTAGATACTTGCACTTCCATTTTACAACAAATTATTCAGTTAAATAATTAATTTTGTAAAGTTATATATATAGACATGTTTAATTTATATACTAGCGACTTCGTGTGCGCGGAATAAAAAAAAATAGAAAATAGCTTACGCGTTCTTCTAAACTATGCTCTACAACTATGCCAAATTTAATCGAGATCCTCATTATGGAGATACATTCTATAATAAAATATCCATCCATCCATAAACTTTTGCATTATAATATTAGTAAGATTTATATTACATTTCTCTTAACTTAGTTATTCTTATATATTTTCATTTTTATTCAGTGAATTTTCATAAAGTTTAAATTGTACATAAAAAAATTCAGAATGGTTCAAATTTAATTAATAAATATACGTTTTTTATTTGATTTATCGAATTTACACACATTATGTTTATGAGAGGAGTATATTACGTGAAGTGCCCGCGCAGCTAACGAAGTATTGTAAGCCATCTGTTCCCTCACCGCTCTAGTGGTTTTTTGTGTTCTTTGACTTTGATGGTTCGCTACCATACGCACTCAATAATGTCTATCCATTTGGTTCGTTCTGTGACATTTATGCGTGTTATTTTTTAACAAGATACCAAACAATAGTATTGTATGAACAAACTTATGTTCACATATGGAGATAAATGCGTAAAACCTAAAGTTGTCTATTCTTGATATCAAGGATCATTTGGAGAATCTAAAAGCAACAGAAAAGTGTAGATGCTCATTCTGATATTTAACTGATCAAACAATATTCAAAAAAATAGATTTTAGTCTTCTTTAATTTAATTTAAAAAAAAACGAATAATCCAATTTTACGTAAATTCGGAATAAACAAATTCTCATTGTTTCTAACTAAAAAATACTATGTAACCGGTTAATACCAGTTCAAAAGTAACCATAACTGACCATTGGCAGGGGCGAGTCGCTAATGGCATAACAAAAAGCTATTTAAGTGTGGGCCGAGCCGAGCCATTACTGCGCGCATCAGGGTCCGCGCTACGGCGCTTATTAAAAATGTGGCCTGAATATCAAATTGCTATCTATCCATTGTGTTGCACCCTAAAGAGCACAGATACACCAGCTAACCCTCGGATTTTAGAGTGGAATGCACAGAGCAATGAGGACAGAGAGACTAATTAAATATAACAGGGTTTTTAGTCTTTAAGTTTTTTAGTTTTATAAATATGTTATGAAAAAATAGTTTGCGCAAAGAATAGAAGGCGTTTAGTCTCCGAGAGGAAATAACAATAAACACAATATACTCAAACATTTTTAATTATGTACCCGTGGTTGATTATAATTAGTTTACGTCGATAAGTAGTGATCGTATCAGTAGGTAATAAAATATGTAGTAAAGTAGTAAACATAAAGTAAAAATGTCTGTTCATTCCTACTCTATACACAAAAGACTACGGGACAAGCAAAACTGTTATTCAGGGGCACAAGCCCATCCCTAACAGAGCTTTTGTTTGTTTTTTATATAAATAAATTCAGTTGTCACATCTCACATGATAAATGGTACTTCTGACACGTCGGTCATATGGCGAATTTTGAGCCACTTGTCGGCTCAAAGTTTGTTATATCTAAGTTTATGAGGGTCGCGTTTTGATATATGGAAATACTGTTTTTGTGAAGGGAAATTATTACTATTGTTATCGGTTAAGTGGAGAATGTCATGCAAACAAACAAATGACTGAGTACCAGTAAATGAGTAAATAGCTTTAATATAATTGAGTAAAGAAAATTTATTCGTCTCAATACATTTTTTTTATTCGAGCCAAGGGAATGGATTTCGCTGCATTTCGCCTTTGTAGTAAAAAAATATTTAATTGTCACACAAAATGGCCCTCAGATGACAAGCGAGCAAGCGGCGACCTGAATTAGCAGAAATAGCGCATCCTTAATTGCCGATACGTTGTCTACCTTTAATCGACGAAGGAGGGAACGCACCGAAACAGAGTTTTTTACCTTTCTTTGTGTTCATTGCTTCGACAAAATCACTTCCCCTTTCAATTCTTTGGTTATAAAAAAAGAGTGAGAAGGGAAAGATATCTTTAATTAGGCTTCGGGCACGCACACTCATCAGACGAAACGTGAAACTGCTTCCATTTGACGTCTGTGTTCGCTGTAATCGTGGTATTCCACCGGGTGAGCCGGTTCGTGCAAAAGTTGTTGTTTTTTTCTGGCGTTTACTGTATGTGCTGTTAATATCTCAGGTAATTGAAACATTAATATTTTTGACGTTTAATTTATTCACATCAAACGGAAGTTTTCGCTGTCATAACACATTAGTCTTCTAAATTGCAAAACTAACCGAGGGAGCCACTTTTAAGGCGAATTTTTGCGAGTTTAAATAAATAATGAACGCTCAAATCCATTTGCCAGGACTTCCGAATTTTTTCGGCTCCATTACTGCGGCGCGAGGCCAATTTGAAAATATTGAATAATATAAAACCTCCCGAAATATGAATGTGAAGATTATGTTACGTAGAAGCGACACAACATGCGACGGTTGCAAATTATTTTTTACCTAACCTCTACCTCTTTTTTATTTACTTTAATACCAGATTATGTAATGTCAAGCGTTTAATCTGCCTATTCCCTTACAACCATTTCCATTTTCTTTATTCTGTACAGCTTATTATTTTAATAAATCAATGTTCCAACAAAAATTTAAAAAAAATCTTTAATAAGGTATTAAATAAATAACCTTAGCTCAGGATAATTCACTATCAATTACAAACATTTAATACCTATGTGTTTAGCAACTTATTAATCTATGACCAGAGGTAACTGCTAAACGTATTATGACGAGTTCACGTCGCATCTCGCACCGGTGAAATAGAGAAATGGCTGCACATATCCTGCGAAATGTGTCAGAAAACCATAAAGTTAACTGCATTTAACTAATGAGAATTGTATGCGACACAAAAATACTCTAAGAAAAATAATGTTCCTTCTCTCTAAGCATTGTTTTGAAATGGATATTCGAAGCAACAACTAGTCAGTCAGGTAAGTGTAAGCGTGTGTATACTTCATAAAATAATCCTA